GAATGGATAAATATACAATTTAAATATGATAATAATATTAATAATAAAGATTTGAGAAAAATGGAAAAACTTTACAGGTCAATACTTCTTTCTCCTTTCTCTAATTTAGTGTTTTAAACACTAAATGACAGATGTATTTCATTTAGTTATTTAATGATAATGAAAATCTTATCACTGTCATCAATGATAAACACGTAAAAATTGGAGTAACAAATAAAGAGTGCATGACAATTTTATCACACACACACACACACACACACACACACACACACACACACACAGTGATGCATATGATATGCTATCATAAGCTCGTTAACTTTCGTGTTACTTATTTGCATATCAGTAACATGAAAGTTAACGAGCAAGAATACGATAGGTAAATGAAATGAAGTATTGAACAACGCGAGATATTTCTGAAAGCGCTAATTGGAATTACATTAATTTAATAAGCAAAATAAAATTGTAAAGCATAATGGAATTAATTACTGTAAATTTGGTTGATAATGGAAATACGGATTAAATAATTGCTATTTCGAGTATTCTAAGTGAACGATATCAGTGATAATTACTATATTTATTGGTATTTCGTGTAAAATTTTGATTTGAAAAAAAAAAGCATATAGAAAAATTAATAAAACTCACCTCAATTCATTACCGTTATAATATTCATCGCTTTGGTATTGCTCACCGGATGTACTGGGATGGAAATAATCATCCGATTGTCCGGTTTGATTATAATATTGCCTGTCATAGTATTCGTTATCATAACTATAATCAATGATTATCAATTATAATGAGCTAAATTATTGTTGGTTCATTTGCGATTTTGTAAATTTCAAAATAATATTTTTCAGTACGGCAATCTTTAAAATGATTAATTTAGAAGTGAAAATAAAAAATTAAAATTTTCAATTTAACAATTAACAGCGAGGTGTAATGGAAAAACAATAACCTTAAATCATTTTGGCTTATTTCCGGACGATCAAACTCATCAACGTTTTCGATATTATAAGCATTGTGCAACATGGAATCTTGTCCTACGGTTTCACGTGAATATTGATGACGTGACGTTGAAGCACTTGTTTCCGTTGAATACTCGAGCATATCTTCATAATATTCAACTAAATACCAAAGCTTCTAATTCATTCAAAATTTACAAAAAGCATAATTTTTATTTCTTCTTAGACTTCACAAAGTAGCCAAATTAGCAATTAAATTCAACGAAATGATTTCTAATAACTGGCAGAGATTTTAAAATACCTTGCATTAAACTAAATTAACCGAAGGAAAAAAAAATCTGCTAACATTTAGCATTAACAATTGTTAACTTTAAAATTAGAATTTTGAAAATTTTTAATGAGCTATTAATTATGAACAAATTTTGTAAGTTCAATTTTTTCTATTCATGTCACGCAAAGGAATAGAAACATTAACAACAAAAAAAAAAGAAAGAAAAATTTTTATAAGTTCCAATTAACACACATTAATAGAAGAATTATTCCAGTAATTATGTTCAAAAATTTGAGTGTCAACTGGAAATTAAAAGCATTTTAAAGTATCGAAAAATTAATTCCTTATTTAAACGATAATTCCGTCCATTCAAATGTATACATATGCATGTATGTCTGTGTAATATGCATGTGGCATATGCATATGTGCTCTCTCGTGTATGTGTGCATACCTGTGTGTGTATGTGTGTGTGTGTGTGTG